AGGCATGGAACAGGAGTTGATAGTGTTTAATAGCTTTGGCTGAAACAGAAGGCCATAGCGATTTATTAGCATCCTTTAGAGGGTCAAAACAAATTTCCTTTACTTCTCTCCTTGTTGCAAGTGAACGTGCCTGCATTTTCATTAGTTTGGCAACAACTCAATGTGATTTCACAGCACAGCCTGACAGCTCTGCAGGAACAAACTGCATGCTGACCGTGTAATCTACTGAACAACACCTGTGCCTAACCTAAACATGCCTTTGATGTAGATAAAACAGAGTTCTTCACAGATCTACATGCATCTGATGCTTTGGCAGAAGTGGCCTTGAGAACAGTACCCTATAAGAGGTATCTTATCCTTGCAAGCCAGTTAGATTCATTTCCAGAAATTAGAGTGTCTTTCTTCCCTAGGGTCATATTTCTGGCCACTTCTCTTTCTGCTGTCAGTCCTATTTTTACTTTACCTCGTTCAGTTGGACTCCTGTTATCAGCCTGATGGCACTCAACTGTCACTGAGTGCTACTGAACTAAAAACCAGAGGAGAGGAATGGGAGGGACTGAGGAGCGAGTAATCCGAGTGATGTAAATGCAACCCACAGCAAGGCAAAATGCATCCAGTCACCCAGTCCTCCTCCTGCCTGTGGAGGTCTGATCCCTATGAGTTAAAAACAGAATCTTTCATGGGAGTGGTTCGGTGCAGGAAGAATCTGGGTGATATCTCAATTCCGGCAGTGTAAGGACTTATCTGTGCTGCCTGAACAGTGAAATAAATAGAGCGTTTCCCAGCCAGTGGATCTGTACGTGATCCGTTAGCAGGTGAGAAGTAGAAGAGCCCAGAATACCTCAACTCCTCGCCTATCTTTACTTAGACTGTACACTGCTGCGGGTAAGTCTGGGTTTGGACAGCACCGCAGAGGTTCACCTTCCAGTCGTAGCTGGACTCTCTTGGGATGTACGTAATTTCATAACGTTCTTATGGCTTTCAGGGAGATAACAGCTTCATGTTAACACTGTATTCAGGTGAGAGTTTTTAGAGTTGCCAGGCTGTTTTTCTGTCTTTTCGCTCTCGAGTTCAGTTTGGTATCTCCCTTATTCAAACTAGAGCAATGTGGAACATGGGACTTGAGGAATAATAAAATGGGAAAGATATGGTAGTGAGATATCAGCTATGGTTCCTACAGGGCCATCTATTCAGCTTCTGCACATTGGTAGAAACATTCCGAGAGCTGATGAAATTGCTCCAAGAAAGTAGCCTCTTGACAATTGTTGGTGGCATGAATATACCGTTATTATCATCTCGCAGGCAGATTGATTCCTGAGTACTTTTAGGACAACTGTGTATGACTGGAGCTGGGAAATCCTGGCCAAAGATATATCATAAATGTTCTAATATTAGCATCATCTCCTGGAATGAGGACAGGGCTGTCCATCTGGAAAAGTTATACGGCACGATTCTTCTGTCAGCTCCCCAGGATTAACTCCATGGACATCTTGGAGCGCACAACAGGCTAAAAACGTTAGTTACTGAGAATCTTGATTACAGAAAGTTTACTATTTGATTTAAAAAACAATGAGTTTACTGGCTTCCATTTTTCAGTAAAACATTCATTATAGTGAATTATTTTGAAAGGAATCAAATTACGGGCCAGTCTTAAGATTTATTTTAAAAGTTCTAGGAAATTCACATTAACCTATGGTTTCTTTTTGCATGCCAAAAGTGTGCTTTGCTGATAAAAATAGGTCCCACTTACCTACATTAAAGATGTAACCATGAAAAGGCTGATGGACCTCAATGCAAGCTTGCTTTCCTGCTGAGATTTAATATTTCCCTTATTGGCCAGTTGAAAAAATACAAGGTAGACTTCACCACAACTGAACTGAATAAAAAGACTTTAGGCATGACCCCAAATAGCCCCCAATGCACTGAATTGCTGTATGATGGCTGTGTGCACAAACCAGCTCTGCCAAGGATCACAACACCAACTGGTGGCAAGCATCCAATAAATTGCCAGAAGTTTTAGAATAAGAGGCCTATGCTCAACCATGTAGTCTTCATGTAGTAGCATTTTTGAGAAGCAACTTTTTTTTTGCTGTAATCATCTTGGGGTTTGCCATCGTCTGCATGTTTTTATTGTCTGATTTCAACGCAAACATTGATGAGAAGCTGAGAACACCCAATCGCTTTGAAAATGAGCTAACATGGAATATGGGCTACAACAGAAAGTTTGCTTTTGAATAGCTGCAGAAACAGACACTATAAATATGCTTGCTTGTGTATTCCAAAAAGAAAATATACTTGCTCCAGCATATGTAATGTATGCTCAGGCATACATTTTTCCCACATGTGTACTCACTTGAATGAGATTGATTTCAGTGAACAATATACAGACCTTGAAATCATCTTTGGGGTGGGGTGGGAGTGGGGAATAGACATAAGACAATTAGATGCCATCTTCTGTAGATAGTATTGACTTCTCCATGTATGCATCTACAACTTTTCTTCTTTCTTTCATGATGCAGTCCTAAAATCCCGTGATTGATACAATGACGCCTGATTGTTTCATTCAGTAAAAAGGTCACAATACATCCAGAGAAGTTCCTTGCTCTGTCTTACTAGACTGCAGCTAACTTTTAATGACTGATTCATGTAATTATTTTATGGCCAATGTACTGCATAAAGCTAATTTTTTGTCAGTTGTTTAGTCCCCAAACATGAACTTTTATATCAAATAACCCCACAAAGAAAATAGAGAGCATATTGTTGCCTGTAATGCCTTTCCCAGAATTAGTTATTTCTACCAGAGCTTCAGTCTGGCACCCACTGAAATTACAGAGCCCAAATAATTTCCAATTTCCTGTCTTCACTCAGCAGTGAATGTAGTATACTTTCTATGCTGTCTTCAGACACTGATTTCAAGGAAACTGTTTTCTAACATCTGTACCAAAAATTCATGTGTATGACCTACAGAAGCAGAGGTTATTGCATACCTGTAGAACTATTGCAGAAGAGAACCGTGATTCAAACTCTCTTTTCATTTTCTCTTTTTGTAGCTAGTATTTAAAATTATGCTGTTCAGTTTCAGAAAGTCCAGACAGACTTTTGTCTCTGCACGCCTTTACAGAAAGCGCGCAGCCCTGAGGTGTGTTCCTCAGGTACTGCGCCAATGCAGTCTGCCATTGGATTCTGTGGAGACAGAATTTCAACCCAAATGCTACCTTTAGGTGTGATGGTGATGATGATGATGATGAATTCCCATCCCAAAGAATCATAGATCACTTTCAGATCACCAGAGCCTAGTTCAGAGTAGCAGATAAAGAGAAGGTTTATAGTTTGCATTATATGATGTCCAGAGAGAAGCACTGGCAGAGAGTGATGTTTAGGCCTGCTAATATGTTGAATTAAGCCAGCTTGATGTTAGGCATTCAAGATACTTGGTATCACAGCTGATCCTGAAACTTCCTCTCAAGGACTTTCAAGCCCTTCCAGCAAATTGCACCTAGACCATGCAGTTTTGCTTTGGAATTACCTTTTTTGTTTAAGAAACTGGAAAGTCCGGGGGTTTTATAATATTTTTCCCTTTGTTGGTTAACTTCTGTTTGGAGGTGATTGAAGATTCAACAGGAGAGAGGGAGGAGTTCTTTCAATTATTATGTATATTTTAGATTAAAAGAAGTGATTGTGAGCCTTTTCCTACAGTATAAGCAATACTTACACTGAGTGTATGGATATTCACCTCCCCCCAGCATGCTAAGGTACTGTTGCCCGAGTTTCTGAGGCCACTGGCCCATATCATCCTTACCCTGCTCCTGTACATCTTCACTTACAGCAGCATTATCATCATCTCACTTTGGGATCCAGTCCCAAGAATGCAATTTCTTTTTTTCTTTCATCTGATTTAAACGGTCATTTAGTTTCTTGCAGAGGAATAGTGTTGTGATATTCTCTTTCCTGCGGAATGCAGTACCTATACAATTGGTTGTGCTAACTAAATTAAATATCCTGTATTGTGGGTTATATCAAACACATGTTTGTGTGACATGGAGCTGAACCATCAGTGCAATTCTGTTAATTTTCTAATAGAAATGTTATGACAATTAAGCTTCCTGAATAGCTCAGTATTTCAACAGAGAGCGGTAAAATATGCCTGTTGGAATGCACTGCTTCCTTAGCTGACTTTTTGAACTATTTATGAATAATCAAAAGTCTGACATATGTGGAAGAGTGTGTTCCTTCTAAATATTAATATGTTAGCCTGGCCATGTCTTTCATGACCAGAGTGTTATCACATAAACAGGATAGGCTAGAACAAAATGGCTCTAATGTGAAAGGCTTCCTTATGTTTAATAAAAGAAACCCTTTCAGACTATGGAGGAGCTCCACCTGATGCAGATCTAAATCCAGCATTTTATTTTTCAGTCTACTAAGAACTATGTATGCCTGTTTCTAAGTATATATTCAAATAGCTAGCCTCACCATTTATTCACTGTCGAAATTCAGCAATGCTATACAAGGAAAGATGGGAACATTTGGACAAATAAAATACATTTTATTGATACATGCTTGAGGTGTGTAAAAACTCAAAGTAGTGACTGCATTTATTCCATTCGTAAAGACGTGAAACAGTTAAGTTAGGCAATGAAAGCATGATGGTTCTGTTCACCTGGTTCGTCCTTTAAGTACGACTCTAAGGGCATTGCATATCCTTAGGGCTGCAGGAGGGGAGGAAAATATATTCAGTTTTGTGGATACCTCCGTGTAGAAGTTAGATGTCTAATTTTGAGCTAATCATTGAGGCTCCCTGGTAGTCACTGGAAGAAGATAGTTACTGAAGATTCATGCCTTAGATGATGTGTTAAAATGGGTTGAATCACGTTGGGGTGTAGGAAGTATGTGCTTCGGTGTTTTGTTACAGGGGACCATCGCTCTGCAGGAATGGTGTTTCTGGAATCCACCCTTGATGCAAACGTCTGACTCACCTGACTTTGTGTTCTTTGCTGCAGATTGATTTTGAAGATGTGATTGCTGAGCCAGAGGGAACACACAGCTTTGATGGGATTTGGAAGGCCAGTTTTACCACCTTCACTGTAACGAAATACTGGTTTTATCGTTTACTGTCAGCAATCTTTGGCATTCCTATGGCTCTCATCTGGGGCATCTACTTTGCCATTTTGTCGTTCCTGCACATCTGGGCAGTGGTGCCGTGCATAAGGAGCTACCTGATTGAGATCCAGTGCATTAGCCGCGTCTATTCGATCTGCATCCACACGTTCTGCGACCCACTGTTTGAGGCCATAGGCAAAATGTTCAGCAGCATCCGAGCCACAGTACGGAAAGAGATTTGAGGGACATTTCAAGGAGAGCCATCAGTCTAGGAAGGGGGTGGGGGGGTTGTGTTGTTTGGAGTTGTTTTGGTGCCAGTTTCGTGTTTCTCAAAGCAACATACAGCAACTGGTGGTGGATATACTGGCCCAAAACAAAGATTCACTTGCTCAGTTTCTGTTTCTACTGTTTATACTTACTGGATTACTTGCTTCTTTTTTTTTTTTCTTTTTTTTCCCCTTCAGCCTGCATTTCAAACTAACCTTAAATGGCCATTCTTCCATGCCAGCTGCGTATCGTTTTGCTGGCTGTTCAATTCAGAAGCCGAAGTGCTGTTGGATGCCTTTTTATCTCACCCTTCATTCCTTGTGAGATAAATCCACAGTGATACTGAAGAACGACAAAAATGCTTTCCAACACTATAAAGCCATTCATTTTATTGTGGTCAGAGAGCAGAGAGCTATTGCAGCAGAATGAACGTGACCAGCTGGCAGGTTTTAGCAGAATGTTCTTTTTCGATCGGATTGTCAGTTGACTGCAGCTATTTACAGTCATGGTCAGATATGGTGCACTATGAAAAAATTAGTTAAGTAAACAAATTATGGAACTAATATATGTCCTGAAAATCTAACACTTTATCAGGTTGGAGACATTGACATGTGAAAGCTTTTCATGTGCATAAAAAGCTTCAGTCAGTGCCTTTCTGTCTCATTCTCTCTTGGAAGTTCGCATCCAGTTATTTCTCAACCTTTGCTAGGATTGCAGAAGCAAACTGCAGTTGAGAACTAAAACTGGTCATTATGGAAACGTTTTCCTGACTGTGACTTATGACACATCCCTGAGCGAGCATTTAGGTGCTTATCTCATAGGCTGCTTCTTTTTTTTGCAAAGTATTCATATAAATACATATCGCAGGTATGCCAGAGATAACCTGAGTTATAAGAAAAATGAAGGTGTGCCAAACACAAGCCACATGAGGCCAAGGAGGAGCTGCCCCTGAGAGAAACTTTTCTATCAGCTTTCAAAACTTCCCTATCAGCAGAAGTCAGCATGCCACTAGCACACAGGTTTTTTTCAGGATGCTTTGCTGAGTCTAACCTAATCCATCACAAGAGATGGTTTAGAAACTTCACTTTTGTGGGTTGGTTTGTTCGTTTTTAGCTGAGCTGCAACATCAGGAAGTCTTAAACGGAGGGCATTGTGTGAAACTACCGTGTTGCAAAGTGCAAGGCCTAGAAAGCAAAGCCTTTGCGACATGTTCTGATGCTGTGACCTGCAAGAGCTTTTTTGCCCTCGTGACAGTACTGTGTTCAGAGACGCTCTCTGCACCCTCATATGGTTCAGAGATGCTCTCTGCATCCTCATACGGTTTGCGTGAAGCATTTGTAAAAATAGTTGTGAGGCTCATCAGCTTTATTGTAAACCAAGCTGGGGCCTGAGCCTGCTCCGGTTGGGATCTCCAGCAAACCAGTTCTTGACCTCAGAGAGTGCAAGATTTGGCCCTTGGGATGAGCATGGAGCTGTCTGGTACACCTACAGCTTTTTTATTTAGCGCTGATATTTCACATATTGCTTACCTAACACGGGAGTGCCTTCGGTTCAATTTCTGCCAAAGCATTGAAAACTTTAGGAAATGCTGCATTTTTTAATGGGGGGGGCAGGGGGAAGGGGAACAGGGGAGAGGGTGCACAAAAAAATTACAAAGCTATTAACTACTATTGTTTGCATTTAAAACAGACACTGGTATGGATATAGTTTTATGTTTTTCTATGTACATAATGGAGAGTGTACTATTATAGATTTTTTCAGTATTAAAAACAAGCGAGATTGTAAACAAGAAATATTTTATCTTTTTATGAGGAAAATCACTCTGAAGAAAACCTTCTTGATTTACCATATAAACTGAATATCCTGAAAGATGTCTGTTCACTTAGAGTTATTAGTCCCTAATCCAAATACGTTGCTGATCCAAGACATTTACATTGTTATACGCTTACAGATATAACTGACACTTTTTTTAATTCTGCATGTACATTAAAGACTACAATAAAAAGATGTTTAATGGTAGCGCCTGTCTGACTTCTTTTTCCTTGAAAGTCATGTGAATAAATCTCATTTTATTAGGAAGAAAAGCCCAATATTTCTTGACAAAGAAACAGAAAGTGATGTCATTTGTTTCTCAAGAAAGAAAGCGCAAAACAGTCTTAATTTGTGGTTCAGGATCTGACTCAGGAAGGTTCTCCCCAACAAAAAATTACATTTTTCTCCCAAGTAAATATTTTCTGCTGCTAAATAAGTAGGCAGTAGAAATAGTGAATACAGCATTGAATAGGGAGCCTAAGCTTGTTTAAATGCTTAAGGATGACAAATTCCATTGCTTTCTTGTTCCTCAGTTTTGCAACATTTCAAATTAGGGTAATGATGTTTACGTTTAGATTATTTCAATATCAAATAAACAGAACAACGTCATAATACAATGAGTTGCTTATAGCTCATTTTACGTGGAAGACTGACCATCCAAAATTCAGATCTGGATTGTCCGGATAGCTTTTCTGTTAAAATCCTTTAAAGCTTTCATTTTGAGTCCAATGGAAACAGGATTGTTCCTAATAAAAGCTCATTAGCCTAAGCATTTAATGTATGGAAATAAGGGAATGACAGCTTTTATCCAGCTGCATATAGACCTAATTTGTGACAGGACAGTTCTTTTCTATGGAATTATTGCACAATACCTGTCACGCCATTAACCTAGCACACTGAAGTCCAACAAAACAGACTATTGCATTTTGACCTACAAATCTGTTAACCATATTTTAATGTTTAAATGGCAGATACCAGCTTAAGGTAGTCTGTCATACGTTTTTCAGTAGCAGAACAGTGTGTTTAATGGTAGTTAGTAGTCCAATGGTAGCAAATAGTACATTGAATTGGACTATGAATTGTGAGAAAATGTAAAATATTTTAAAAGGTAAAAGGAAAGTTGCAATGTGAAAGTAAAGCAAATGAGCATTCCAGTATTCAAAAATACCTTGTTTTTGCAAAGAGCCTGATAGTTTCAGAACAGACACATCTGTTCATCTTAACTGTTTATAATGTCATGTCTCCGGGACTCTTCATGGGAGAGGTGTGCAGATTCACCCTGTGACTGCACTGTCCCTGGCGCTTTGCTGGGCAGCGGGCACAGGGCTGTGCTGTGTGTGAATCTCACTCCCATGCTCCTGCCGGGTTCTCAATGCAATATCACTCATGATCAATACCACAGTCACAACACACCCCATAGCAAGATCCGGGCTTGTCTACTAGGGGACTAGACATTAGCTGTTAGACCATGGCATCAGGCAATCTCCTATCTTGGCTGTAAACGTGGTGTAGATAGTCTCACGCTACTAGATATGAAAGTCAGCATCATAAGCTGCATCAGGACCTGTGGGTTCAGGTGGGTTCAACACCACTTTTTCCTCCTACCAGAAAACTTTCTTGGCTGTTGCTGGCCACTCTTCTCATCCTCTGGGTCACCAGTTCTTAAATTGCGCCATTTAGCTTTAACCATTTTCCTTTGAATACCCTGAGACAACATATGGGGGATCTGGACACTCCAGTTAAAACCAGCTGGAGCAACAAAGTTTTGAGAAATGAGAGTGTGAACTGCACGACTGTGTGGTTGATCTCTCTGAATTTGATTAAGAACAGTGGACTAAATGCAGAATAATTTTTTGAAATACATGTATTGGAATGAATGACAAATCATAGGCTTTTATTAATGATGGAGAATTTCCATAGCTGCACCCAGGGTCTCTTTTGACCCTCTCTTATGTTAAACTAGAACTGTTCTCCATTCACTTTCTTGCTTTCATTGCCTTTGTGCATCTGCTGCATCCTCCTCCTTTTTTTTCCTCATGTCCTGAGGAGGAGGAAAGAGGCACAGAATAAAAGTCTTTGCTGAGCTAGACACCTTTGCTGTCTTCATCTGTGTCTTACAAACCTTAACTCTTCCACTTTTTGTTATCTGACACTGGCACACCATGTGATACAGGTTATGTTATTTCTATCTTGCTTTCTTCTGTAGAATTTGTAATTGAAATTTCAATTGTGTAGCTCAACTAGCACATCCTGTCTTCAAGATGCTTTTCTCTATTATGGCCTTCTGCAGGCATAGTGGTAAAATGTTTTACATTTGATAACCATGACAATATATAAATGCACAGTATTCTCACCAGATTTGTAACTGCTTTTACGAAGCATGGCAAAAGTGGGAAGAGAGTGATTAGGCTCAGTACCAGCCTGTGTCCTCCCCCTTAGACAAGACACATTTTAGTGTTAATTCAAGACACAGTCCACTAAAGGCCCTAGGCTCAATGCCAGTAGGTAATTTGCTTTTGTTCTGAGAACCTGAATTTACATAACCCTGCAGACACCTGAATTTCTGTGGCACATAATTGCTAGTAAAACTCACTGTAAGGATACCCAGGTCACACCTACGCACTGCTGGGATGCTGGGAAGTATAAATGAGATGTTCCTCTGGCTGCCACCCTCTCCTGCAGGAACTAGAGATGATAGGTATTCGCAGGGATCACTAGCAAGAGCTGGGAAATGATCCTTGTTGTAGTCTAGCATCTCACTCCTTGAGACAGAGGAGACTTTAACTCCTCTCACTGCGCTCACAGGTGTAAACTCAAGCTGCTCACTGCTCAGTATGCTGACTACTCTAGATCTAATTTTTATAAGACCAATTGTCCTTGGGTGCTGTGCAGGAACTAACCATAGACCCCTGATGCGGCACGACTGCTTCCCAGTAGATGCCAGGTCACCTTAAAGGCACCACCTGAGCTTTGTGACACCATTATTGGTCTAAAGTCTTCAGAATCCAGATTTTCCCTTCCATCAAGCAGTGGTCAGTGCAGAGGTGAATAAAAGCATTATAAGCTCCAGTTCTAGGACTTCTAGAGATAATTCTGTTTTCCAGCCTGAAACACTAGGGACCTATGCTGAAGGTTGCTCTGCTTTCTGCAGACTGACAGCAGC